CGCAATTTTGTTCGGATTTGAATTTTACAAATTACAATCGTATTTGTAGCCTTAACAGCCAGAATTTCATTATTCAGCCAAAATTACTTTTAAAAAAACTCTATATAAAACAATATTATCTCAGAAAAGTCGTCTCTGCTCAATCAACTTACACATATCGATGTATGCATACAGGAGAATCATTTACAGCGCCTTGTTCGCTTTAAATTGAGCCCTTTTTCGCTTTATTCTTCCATTTGAATATATGTTGTACAAACAGAAGGATTGGGGAATTGGTGCCAACTCAAGCTTTCACACTTTTTTAGTTTCCGCTACACAGCTGAATATGAAATACTATTTTACAATAAGAACTGTATTAAGAAAAAGAACGTAAATCTTCTTCTACCACGAAGCTTTTGCATGGATATGCTCTCTGAAAGAAATTTATTATAACTAAAACTATGTGTTACCGATTTTTTTCTAGAAGAGAAAGGGTAACACATAGGAAGTACTTTACTTGGAAGAATGATAGAGGATATTAATAATATCAAGACAGAAAGCTAAAACTCCTGATAAATTCTCTCAAATTGAAGGGATATAAGGATAAACCAACCCATCATAAGAAATCTTTTACCAATCCTGGCCCGCAATATTATGCGAGAAAGTGTAGCCTCAAATATTCTTCCTGAAGGAACGAAAAAGCTTAAAAAGACTTGAAGTGTTGGTTACCATTAGCAACAGAGCTTCAGCATCCAACATTAATATTCCATCTTGCTATCTATGAATTTTGTCACTTTGGCATCATCTTGCAAAGTTGGATTGACGTACAATTCTAGTGCTTGTCGTGCAGTGGATGTAGGCGTTGCTGACGCTCGTTCGCACAGGTTCGACGACATAGCGAAGAATTTTGCGTCTATAATCAACCCTTAGAACAAGCCCTTAGCCCAGAGTGTTTAGTTAGTTTAGTTTAGACATTTTGCAGATGCGATTGCTTATGCTACAGTCATATATACCTATGGTTTATTCAAATGTACAAAAAAAAGACCACGTTTTTGTAAAGGACAAAATACACAACAGAATGGGCAATAATTAGAAGAACCGAGAATAAACTAATATACAGACAAGGTGACAAGTACGTATTTATATGTATATAAATACACAACCATATATGTACTCATATCAACATCTTCATTTTCGCCATGGAGAATCCTATGGATACATGAATGACAGCAATTCATCGATAACAGCGCTACCCGCAGTGAGATTAGTGAAAGGACGTAAGGAAAAATAGAATTTCAGTATCTTGTTTGATAACAAGTGCTGCCGTTTGTGGGAACCACATGACATTGAGGAATGCATGAGAATAAGGCTTGCATTATCCTTGTACAACGTCATAGTAATCTATCGTGTTATCCTTATTTTCTGCTACAGTAGTCCGACATATGTCACCGTAACAGTAATCTGCTGAGATACGAAGACGATCCTTTTCAAATACGACTTCGGATGAGGATTGTTCGAAGTCGAATATTATAGGTAAATGGATGCCTTAAAACGTCATTCTCACCGAAAAAAAAATTCACAAGTTCCTATTTTCAACGGATTTCTTCTTATATACCACAAAATTAACAGAGTATCAAGGGAATAACCGTTACATAGATCGGAGCGCGATGAAGTATTAGCTTGTATGCAGTTGTAAATCGTTAGGTTCATTAATTTCATGTACAAATCAGGTTAGGATCAATTTACGAACAAAAGGCCAAGAAGTAGTTAAACAGATGATTCTAAATCTTAATAGCATAATCTCTCGTGCTGCAATCTAGCCTTTCTCTAAAGAAAAACTCTTTTCTTCAAAGTGCAAGCGGAACTACCTCCTTTCAACTTCTTCGCCATATCCTCGTTCAATATCAGTTCAGTGAGAGCGTTAACCAGAAATTCCAATGAGCCCTCATCAATGCCATCGACTAGTGAAGCTACCTGAGAGATAA